ACGCACGCAATGGCTGGAGCGAGACTTGATTGGCTTGAGGGGGTCTATTTATCAGGGAACTCGATTAAAATACAGACTGCACATGACATCAAATTTGTAATCATTTTTCCACAGCAAGCAAGCAAGCATTTTCTATATTGGATGCAGGTGTTTAAAGCAATAGTGTGTTTTAAGGGCCAGTGCAGCACAAATTCTGGCCTTTGGGATAAAGACAAGTGTTTTGCCTGCATAAACAATATATTATTTTTTTTCCCCCTCCCCGAGGTCCACACACACCTAGTTTCCCTCAAGCTCATCATCTCTGTCAGGTTAATCAATAGGCACCGTATGGCAGAGGGTCAGTAATCAGTGTCATCGTGCCTTTAAATCGTGTTGAAAATTTGCTTAAAGCCTGGGCCAATTAACATCGAGATGATGAATGGATGGGTAGATGGGAAGAGCCTGGCGCTCAGGGGCTTTGTGAGAAGGAGATGCTCAGCTGTTGAGCAGCAGACACCAGCGAATAAAATCAGCCATTCATGTGAGCTCAGTCCACCCACTCTTAATGATAATGTCAATCTAGCAAAATATATACACATTGGAGTTGTCACGAGTTCATAAATCAAAGGAGTTTGTCAAAGGCATTCAGATTAACGAGGCAGCAGCAATAACAAGTCAAATTTGCATAGAGAATTGCCCGAATCTCAGTAAATTATGATCCTGTTTTTCATTTGATTATTTGCTAATGTCTCAAGAGGGAGAATGATTATATTAGCATGCAAAATCTACTCCAGAAGTAGAAATCCGAGGTATAGCAGACCAGCACACGATGACAATTAATCAGTTTCTGCATACTAGCATAAATGCACAAGGCCCAGAAATGAACTCCTTTTTTATTATTATTTCTCCTTGCTACTGATCCAAATGGTTCAGCTTGACAGAGACTTTATATTGCTTTAACAGTGTTCTGAATTGTGCCTGCAGGCAAGACATAGTTATGCAGCTATAACCAACCTATCCATCTGCCAACCAGATTGGAATTCTCCTATCCAAGGCTTCCATTAACCCCCACTGACAGCTCCAAACAGGATTAAGAATTTGAAAGCATAAAAAATAGTTGTGCTCTTCACATAGGCACACGCTTCTCCCCCACCCCCACCTCCACACACTTGGAAGAAAGGCTGCGTCTGTACTCTTTTATAATTAGTGCAGGGCAGAACAGCATCAAAGAAAGCCTCCCCCAGTTGGCAGGGGTTTGATTTCCACCACGACGAGCGAGGCGGTACTAAAGGTAGCTCTGCCCAATTGGTAGTCCCTGGGAGTGCATTTCTCTGTGTATTATATCTCATTCCCAGCAGTGTTTTGCTGGGCTGTGTACACAAAATACTGCATGTCATCTCCCATCAAATGCTTCAGTCTGGGGATTTTGTATGCATTGTAGCATGTTGTGTTTAGTGGTGGAGGAGGCTTCATGGGGAGAGTTAAATAGTAATAATTTTGTAGTGGTCTTTAAGACAACCTGCCACGGAGTTATATTCTGTTAATTACAGGCTGAAGTTTTAAATGCAAATCAGATTTAAAAGGATCTCATTACGGGCAGTAGCCATTTTAGGAAAAATGAGCAATGGAAGGCAGAGCCCCTTTGCAGGAATCTCCTGCTAGAAAGAATTTTTGAAGATTACGAGAACTTGCAGGAATCTCCTGCTAGAAAGAAATTTTGAAGATCACGAGAACTATGAGCTTGAGTTTCCTGGCTTCTCTTCCCAGTGCTTCCACTGTCATTGTGTGACCTTGGGCAAATAAAAAAAATTATTTTACCTGTCTGTGGAAAAAGGAGATGCTTTGGAGACTTCAGCATCTTATCTTGCCTGTATTTGTTCAAAAGGAGAGACCCCTGCATGTAAGCACACTTTTGGCCAGCCTGGCTTTAGTCTATGGAGAAGGGCTTGCCTGCGGGATTTAAAAATCTTCCCTGATGGATGGGAGTTTGAATGGCTTTTCAGCTTTCACTCACCTACTAAGTATCAAGTACAGTCACCGCAGATCTTTAATATTCCCAGTGAGTACACCCAACTTACCGTCTGGATACCAAATGCTTCTTTCCAGGTCTGTGCCCGGGACATGCGTTTCAGTAACCACGAGAGGGTGCTCAGAGCGGTTCCTCCCTTTGTCTGCCTCTCCTGTGGCCAAGAGCATCGCTGAAGTCCTGCTGAAGCAAACCTTATTCTGACCTCGCACATGTTTATCCCTCCTCCCACCTTGTTCAGCAAGGAGAAATATATAGATGTACCGTTTCAGTCGATTACGTTATGCTCTTCCCATGGCCATGGCTAAGTGTTGCCCTGTCAAGTGAAATTCACTTCCATGCAGCTACAGTTAGTCCTGAAATATGCGGGGTCCTGTGCCTGCACCTGGATTGATAGGTTTCCTATTCCTGAGAAATGAGCGGGAGTTATAAACATCTGTGCTTTTTCTTAAGTGTAATGCTTTCCAGTCATTCTGTCTTCACCAAGCGTAACTTACTTGCCGACAAAAGTGCATGAGCAGCGCTCCTCTTTAATAGTCTGCTATCGGAGCTGCTGTGTTGGTGCTGTAGAATGGTGAGACGCCAAGCTGTGAACCACCATATGCACTTGGCAGTCTTTGTCTGGTCTTTGTTCAGCCAACCTCTTAGCCTTGCCACCTATAAAGATAATGAATGCAAAATGGTCCTCTGCTTGCTCTTAAAATTAGATGCTCAGCTTAAAGAAAAAGTAGGTAACTTGATGCTTTGCAGTAAGTAGGAATTTCAAAATAAGGGCTGACAGTTCACCAGCAGTTCCTGCTTTTTGATGTTTTCTGAGGGAGGATCCTTAGTGGTTTTGAAAGGCAAGATTTCACTGTCGTAGAGAGATTATTTGGAAGCGGAAATTGTTCTGGCAGTTTTTGTAGGGAAGCGGGCGAGTGTTGAAAACGCATCCAGACGTAGTAAACAACCCCTTCAGCTCCCCAACACAACAAAATACATTTCCTGGAAATGTATAGTAACTCACCTCAGGTTCTCATGTTTTCCACTCTTGGTCTTTTCTTTCCAAAGCACAAAAATTAAAATACTAACTTCAATTAACCACTTATGAAACTGAATTTCATGAGCAGAAAAGAACAACTTTAATGTCTGACCTTCCTTTTTTTATGTATGTGATTCTAACTTCTATGGTTTTACAATCACAGTCCTTTCTAAGCTAGATTTAATGTAATAGCTTGGTCCTGACTGAGATCTCATACGAAAACTTTTAAAAGCTGACCTCTTACAGCAATTTGTCAGGCCTGTTTAGGATTGATTTCCATTATAAAACCCTGGTTACAGCATCCCGCATGACATGGTGCCTTGTGAGTTCTATATCTTGTTTAAAAAAAAAATAAATTCGAAATCACTAGTAGGTCTGCAAACCTTGATTTACTCCTGACCAGTTTATGACATCCCAAGTGGGGTTTTATTGTTGTGTTCCTCTCCCCCCACCCCTTATCTGCCATTTCTCAGCAAACAGCTTCTACTCCTGCCCTGTCTCCTGGCTGCACCTTTCCTTCCCCTTCCCCAGACCCGTGGCCTGTGCTGCCCAGAGGGTGCCTGATCACGCAGCACTGCAGTGGGCACGCAGTGCTCTGCTCTGCTGATGGCTTCCTGCAGCCTGTGTGCTCGCTGCTGGCCCTGCACTGCCACGCTGGCTGTTTGCAGGGCCCAGCTCCTCCTTTGCCAACAGATGCCACTTCTGTCTCCTGAGGTGCTGGGCTGGAAGCTGTCTCTGTGAGAAGCCAGGCAGAGCCGTGCTCAGCGAAGGACAGGTTATTTGGGGGACAGGTACAGAATGCAAACTTCTGCCATAATAAGCACACTCCTGAGCTTGTCTAAAAGTAACTGGAAAATCACCCTTTTCCTGGCAGAGCTTTCCCTAGGCAGTTTTTCTGTATCTCTTTAAAACCTGTTTAGTTGCTCACTGCTGAATGCATGGGAATGTGGCCTGAGGCTATGAATACTGTGGTGATCAAACTGATTTTAGATGTGTGTGTGGGATTCCCCCAAAGCTGGCTGTCATTACTCTGTCAATGCAGTGGCTGAACCTGTGCAAAGGAATGTTGTCTTCCAGAGTAGCTGACTTTGGCAGTGAGGTCAGGATTCTCCCCACCTATCCAGCAGTTTCTAACCAAACCTTTGCAACCGATTGTGCACATCCTAAGATAACTATAGCTTGTCTTTACTCTAAACCAAGTGATAATTGGTTTTAATCATGATGTTAGCAGGGCATAAGTTTCCTGGCTATGTTTCTTACTCATGCTGGAAAAACCCTTGTATTTCTTGTCCACTGTCTCCTGTCTTACTGATGTTCTTTTTTTGGAGGTGGCAGCTTACATTTTGGAGCATCAGTATTTCTAGAAGTTGTAAATGTATGTAGAGTCAGAGGGCAGGAGTGAAAACTATAGCTGTATTACCATACACTACCTACACCATATTTGGGGGTTTTTTTGGAAGGATCTCCTAACAACCTCTTTTACAATAATTTAGCTCTATCATGATTTCTCTATGATTTTTGGCAGCCAGGCAGACTCACTGCAATTAATAATGGTTGGGTAGATTAAAAGCATGGGGCGCAGAGAACAAAACTGCACCCACTAACAACCTTTTGCTTTCAACAGAGTCCACTGTTTTAAGTCATTATTCTGGGGTGTTGAGGAGCACTGGTGTTGCCATGCTGATTCAGCCGTCGTTTCAGCTTTTCAAAGTAGCTGTTATTAGAAGTTTAAGAGTAAATCCCTAAAGCACAGGCTTCTTCAACAGATACCTGCACAGTGGTGTGTTTCTGTATTGAGGAGGAGAAATTCTTTCTCTGCCATAACAAGCTGTTTGGCATAAAAGTACAAGTTAGCCTCCGGTATGCGAATGTGTAAAATACTACAGCCTGTGTAGTAAAAATATTTTGTTTCTTTTCTCCTCGCAGAGTAATATTAGGGATAAGAACTGAATTAAAGCTTACTTTCTTTCACAGAATTCCTCTGAGAGAGAAGACTGTAATAATGATGAGCCCCCTAGGAAGATCATTCCTGAGAAGAATTCACTTAGACAGGTATGTGATCAGTCTCTTTAAAACTGCAATAAAACTTTCTAGGTATTTGAATCCTTAAATGCTCCTGGAAGCTGAAGTCTGGCTTGTGCTCACGGAAATCCTTTATTTTCTTCTTTGAAGTCTAAACAAGTCACATTGTACCCAGGAAAATCAGACACAGAGATTTAGCTTTCAGGGGAGTTTGATGACTTTTTACAAAGAAATATATGCTACAGTGTAGTTCAGTCAGCTGTGACTCTCTGTTTGGTGTTCATCAAGACCTCTTCAGCCTTTTCTTCTGTAATCATTCCTGTCTTATTTATAGTATATTTTGCCTTACCTCAGATTAAAAGCCTCAAAATGTTCTACAACAATTAAGCTTTTTATTGCCCTTGAAAGTAAATTTTCTTGGAGGTGATATCCAGGTTACTAACCTGAAAAATGACCTGTTCTTGTTTCTTTTACTTTCATATAAATGACTAATAGGTAAAAAGGAGAAAGGATGGTCTAATAAAACATCTCTTTGCATGTTATATACGGTAAAGAAAATTTCTTACCAATTCAAAAGAAACCCTTTTTTTAATCCCCATGGCCAACAAAGGGAGTATGGTATATGCTTTCCGGGGAATTTAAGTTGGATTTAGTGATTTCTGATCCATTTTCACCTTGCTCTTTCTCCCCACTGCAAACTTCAGGCAGCAGAAACAAAATCATGTCCATGCCTTAGCTGCCTGAGGTTCCTGCCTGGTGTATCAAAATAAAATCATTGGTGAATGTGACTTAAATGACTACCCCAGGCCACACATTCCAACAGCTGAGGAATTGTCACATTTCCTTCTGCATCTCAGCCACAGGAGCAACAGTCTCAGGCAGGGGAGTAGGGTGGTACTGTACTGCCCCACATCTGCTATTTCAAAGAGAAGTTGTGGGTCAGAACCATAGTAAAGGAAGAAGTATCCTTTTGATATAGCGTGCTCATGCTCAGAGTTGTTGGGTTTGGATGGGTTTGTTTTGTTTTCTTTTTTAATAATGTATTGTGTTAGGAGTGTTCGATTTTGTGGGAGTAGGTGCCATGGACTACATGTGGCTACGACAGGTCCATCTAACAGATGTAGTCCATGTAAGTCTTTCAGACAAGAGGCAATATGCTGGCACAATAACTGAGGTCCCATATGTAGCTGAGAAAGATTACCTTGCAGAATCAAACTTAAAATGTTTATGGCATTCAACAACAAATGACAGCTGGAGGAAGAGGGGAGAGCTACTAGGTCCTTATTGTGTATTCCCAGGATAACCAACAAGGTCCCCAGCATAACAGAAAATCAGAGGTTTTTTCATCTTTGGGTTATATTATTGATGGTAAATCCTCAGTTTCAGCAGGAAAAGATTCGTAGTAAGAGGTGTTAATTCAAAAGGAACCTGAATTATTTGTTTTGTGTGTCTTCTTATTGCATTGAGTCCTTCCTCATGATTATTGATTGAGGAGACAGATATTCACAAGCTGTATTATACAGATGAGAAAGGTACAGTTTCTTGAGTTGGATTTCCCTTCCATTATTTTGCAATCTGCAGAAGTTTTCTTGGTGTCCAGGGAAAGTTGTCTTTGCCCACAGGACCACAATTCATCATAACCAAGGTGACTAGATATCAGGAATACACCTAAAAACTACTTGTAGTGTCCCAGTATTTCATATTGGAACTAATTTATGTGGACATGTTTTATGTTGAAGATGGTTAGCTGTGTTTCACAATATTGAGATGTTGTATCAGTCTCCATCTTTGTTTCCAGTCTTTACAGTAACAGATGCAGGACAAAATCCTTGGGTCTTCTGATTGCTATCTGGGACCTTTTGTGTTGAGAACAGTCTTTGTAGATAAGTTCAAGATGTAGTCTTAGTCTTAAAGCAGGTGCCCTCTTGTCTATATTTTAGGAGGTGATTGTCCGCAATTTTGTGCCTGTTGGAGAAGAAATTTTTGGTTCTTTACATAAATAGCATAAATAAAGCTGTCTGAGCATTTTGAAAGCTCAGATTGTTCCTCTTCTCTATTAGCAATGGACAGAAGCAGTGGGGAGCTTTCTAACTCTTGCTCTAGAAATCAGACACATATGAAGCCATGTGCCCAAACTCTCATAATCAATGAGTGATTCCTACAGGAAGGTATGCAGAGTGACTACTCTGCTTTAAATCTATCTCTACTTTGTAGAACCAAAAAGATCTGACCAGCAAATGCTGTCAAAGCAGTAATACAAAAAACATGCTTTCCACGTTAGTGGAAAGATGCTAACTTGGTAAATATTGAGTGTAGTTTCATCTTTTCTGTTCCTCCTTTAAGACTCCCTTAGTATTTCATTATTGGGGAACATGGACCTACATGCACAAAGGAATTGAGTGTATGTGGGTAGAAGAGAAGTCTATTTACTTAAATGGTCTTTCCAGAGAAAGTATCCATCAATCTACTTTTTGATTAGTCTTAGAAAATGAATGAGGTGCATTAGATAGACCACTTCAGGGGAAGTATGATGTGTTGGCATGTTCCACTGATAACAAGTTTAAGTAAAGGTGCATTTCCCTTTCTTACCTTGTCTGCAGTGGTGTTATGCAGCCTTAGCCATAAATGTTTTCTCCAGTGGGTTTGTGGAACAGACATATCAGAAGGTGGAGATAATGAGGTGTAGTGGTTACTTAAGCATCTGAAGTTGTATGCAGGGGCTGAAGACACCCATTGCTCAGTGCTATGGAACTCTTACTATGAGAAATATAATTTTGCTATTGATCAAAATGTTTTTTAGAGAAGATGTCTTCAGAAGTCTCAACAAGTGGAGTGTGTCCTTGGATTGCTGAAAGTGGAAGGCACAGCCACTGTTGGATGCATGAGGGGGCAGCAAGGCAGAAGAGACATGGATATTAGCACTGGGGAACAGAAAAGGGCAATGAACTTGACACTGTTATCTGGAACAGTGAAAAGATCTAAGTTACAACAGACTTTGGAATATGGATGCAAATGTTCAGTTCTTACTGAGTGCTTGATCTGACAAATTTAAATTTTGAAGGGTAAACTGAAAATCATAGTATGAAAACACACTAGAAAAAAACAATGACAAGTGGCAAAAGTTTTTGGCAACTTTATTTAAGCTAACAAACGAATTTTCACACTGCAAAGTTATAAATTAATTTTAATAGGCTGATCCAGATGGTCCATTTGGAAAATGGATAGCTTGATCTGTTGAAAATTAAACTAAATTTATCTCTCTCATACTTCAAACTGAAGTAAGCGTGAGAAGAGTGCCCATTAAGTCCAGCTCATACAGATGGACCGGCAGGTCACACATGGGACTAATCTGATTCATTTTAAAAATAAATGCATGAGTTATTGAATCAGGGTCCTGTTTCAAGCCCTGCGTGTGAGCACGGTAGCGTGTGTGTGTGTGTGTGTGTGTGTGTGTGTGTGTGTGTGTGTGTGTGTGTGTGTGCCGCCCTTTCAAAGGGACTGGCAAATGCTTCAGTGCCTTTTTAACCTGTGTGTTTCCATTTTAATTCAGCTTCCTTGCCAGAAAACATAATTAGTTTTCAGTGCCTATCATTTAGCGTTAGACCCAAACACTAGATTGATTAGGTCAGACATTTGTTATTTTAAGGGCTGTGTCTCCATCCTTCATTTATGAGAACGTGAGCTCAATAGTCTTGGGTAGAGAGACGGGCTTTAGAAACTGAGAAGGGGAAGCTCTCTGGGGGCCCCTCCAGCCTTTTAGCTTCTGGGTGTTTTTAACAGAGCCATGAATGCAGATTTGTAAATTTATTGCAGTGCCATCTGGGTTTTTTTTTGTTGTTTCTTTTTTTTCAGGCACCGTATTATTGTTGGCTCGTATGTGTCTATTGTGGTGGTCACTCCCCGGGAGCTTGCCCTCACAGTCCTAAGGAAAGTGATGAATAGTGGGGGTCAACATGAATAGGTCACAGGGCAGCTGTCCAGGGCTGCCCTGAACTTGATTACCCCACTGGTTTTTAAAGAAGACGGGCACAATGCAGGTTGTTTAAAACTCTCCCTCCCTTCTCTTCATTGCAGCGATAATGAAGTGCCTTTTGCTGCTGTGGTTCATCTATGGGCAAAGGTGCCTTGTGGGGAAAAGCTGGCAGCAGCAAGGCTGCTGCACTGTACCTCCTGCAAACCTCGCATTGGACTCAGCTATCTTTCTGCAAGCTTCCAGATGGAAGACCGGGGGAAAAAAACCCTGTCTGTTACCCCATTCAGACAAGCCCCTTAGCGTTTTCAAGAATTTTCACTCTTACTGTTTTGGCACAAAATATTACCTCAATTCACTCGTACAGATTTGAGATAATTTTCTAAAATCACATGTAGTACCTAAAACATGCTGTAGGCACTATTTCAGAGTTAAAATGGGCACAGTCTGATCTTAAGAGTTTAAAGCCAATACTCAAGAAAACCGTGAGAAGCAGAGTGGATGAAGAAGGTAGAGCAAAGGAAAAACAAAGAGTAGCAATTGTCAACCTTTTACTTTGAGCTGGCAGCCTCATCCGACTGCTTAGGGCTCCTGACCAGGCATACCTCTCCTCTGCAAAAGTATTTCTGATGTGCAAAGTTGAGGCCCTCTTTTTAGCAGGTGAGGAAGGTTGCATGGTGTGGAGGGAGAGAGGGTCCCTCCCTCCCTCAGGGGAAGATACTGCAGTTCAAATTTACCTTCTGTTGGAGAGTTGACCAAGGCAGGGCAGACCTGGTCTACAAAGCTGTCCTGGTTACCTCACCTTTTACGTGAGTAACACTTGCTAGTAAGGAGTTGCTGGTTGAAAAGCCCCCTGAAATTGCTAGAAGTACACCCTTAGTCCTACTTGCAAGATTCTTTTTCTTTTGACCTTTTTTTCTCTTTATTCTCAAAACAACAACCAAAAAATAATTTTCAGCCCTTTGTGACACTTAATGCATGTTAAAAAGCTGGCCAAAGCAGGATGTGCCAGAGTCTAAGTTACAATGGGAATGCTGCCTTGTGGTGGAAAGGCCACTGG